TTTATTAATTACTTTATTTCGCAAACATTCTTTACCAAAAATGTCAACTCAAGAATACTCTTTTATTTTAAAACAAGTTTTCGATGATTTAATTAATAAATACCTTGACGGAAAATCTCCAAATAGACATCGTAAAACATTTATTAATCAAGCTGATTATGATCTTATTATTGCGGTACTTCGTGAACCCAATAATACAAACTTGGGAACATCAAAAGATAGATACTGGATTAAAAGTTCTTTTCAGCTTCGTGAATTAGGAACTGAAACTAACCCAAATACACAAATAATTACGGTCACAAAAAATGAAAATGGACTGGATATAATACGTACCATATGCCCTTTTAATCATCTTTATGTTATATTGTGCAAAGTTCATATGGGCATTTTAAAGCATGTTGGAGCATCTAAAATGTGGGATATTGTAAGAATTTTTTACATTATTATGTATTATTTTTTTTTTGAATATTTAACTATACATATATAGTAAAATAAATACATGAATATGTATTTGCAATTTGTTTTTTCATTTTTAGATCAGAAGTCAGTATGACTATATTCCTCAATCATTTATAAAAGAATTTTGCGGTGCATGCAAAACTTGTGCAACACATAGATCATTTCCAAGTGCTTTGGCTGCAAAGCCAATTGTGGCAACAAAATTCCTTTCTCGTATTCAGGTAGATTTAATCGGGTTAACTTTTCAACCTGTAGGAGAATATAAGTATGTGTGTCACGTTCGTGACCACTTTACTAGATTCTCGTGGGCCCAATGTTTAACAAGCAAACGTGCTGCTGAGGTAGCAGTATTCCTTTATAATATTTTTACTGTGTTTGGAGCCCCCATTATTCTTCAATCGGATAATGGTAAGGAGTTTACCGCAGATATTATTTATGAATTAATGGCACTTTGGCCAGGAGTAAGAATTGTAAATGGATGTCCAAGACATCCACAGTCTCAGGGGATGGTTGAAAGGGCAAATGGAATCTTACAGATTAAACTTGGCAAATGGATGGAAGATAATAATTCAGATAATTGGACGGAGGGATTACCATTAATTATACATATGTATAGTATATATTTGATTTATTTTAAATTAATTTTTTATTATTATTTGATTTACATGCAGATATATGTATTTAGATGCAATGAATGTACAATCAGTTTGTGCAATGGGTAAATCACCATACTCACTCGTATTTGAACAAGATCCTGTTCAACATTTTTCAGTACTTGAAGATATACATCAACAGGATATTGTTGATGAAGAATCATTACCTGATAATTTCTTCGAAGATTCTAATAATTCAAATGATAATTTCAAAGATCAACTATTTGAATCAAATGAACCTGGGTCTATAGTATCGAATAAACCTAAACTTCTAATGTCAAATGAATCTGAACTATCAGTGTTAAATGAACCTGAATCTTTGATATCGAATGAACCTGAGCCTTCAATATTGGATCATTCCGAATCTTCATTGTTGAATTCAGAAAATAAT